GGGCCCGGTTCTCAGCATGTTCTGTCTGGTTACTCCGGGTAGATTGTGAGGACCCCGGCCTCATTTTTCTCAAATATCAATATCAACCTTGGGCATTGGGCCCGTTTAACCAAAAAAAAAAAAAAAAAAAAAAAGCATCACGGGGACCAAGCGCAACCGCCAGCCGCAGCGCCCGTTGCCCGTTCCATTGGCATATCTTTCCAAATCAGAACTCTGTAAGTATGCCGCCGCTGTATCTATTTCCAAAGGAAAAGGAGAACTGAATTCTCCCTACCCGGCTGATTGTCAGACATCCACCTGGCTACCGGACTGTGGGCCTCTCTCTACTATAACACAGCATACTAAGGGCCTCGCCACACCACTGTCGAAATGAAAAAAGTACGGGCGCACCCCCAGAAAGTGGCAACATGCATCCGCTACTATTTATAGTAACCGATGAATCTGGCCAGTCCCGGCGGACCATGCACTCATGCTTTTTTCGATTCTATGGTGGTGTGGTGTTGGGAGGCCCTCCTCCCCACACCGCTGGCCTCACCACACCACTGTCAAAACGAGAAAAGTACGAGTGCATGGTCTGACAGGGAGTGGCCATATGCATCCGTTACTATGAATAGTCGCGGATACATTTGCCACTTTCTGGGGAAGACGATTGTACTTTTTTTCGTTTCCTCAGTGGTGTGGTGAGGCCCCAAGTCTGTCTCAACCTGTTAGTGGTTCCATACATTCAAAATGTTCCATCAGTCAAATGGTATCCCGTCTAGGTGGCAGTCCAGTTGTAGATTCAATGTGGAATGTTCAGTAGTGGAGCGAGGCCCCGTGTTTGGCCATGCATTATCTTCCTCTCCATTATCTTTTCCTTTTATTATTGTCCCATTCTCTCTTCTTCCTTTTGCGTGTGTGTTTCCCAATCTTGTAAATTGTAATTTGTTGTCTTTAATGATTGCCTCCTCTGCCATTTCGGTGATGGAGGCTTGGAGGCAATTGTCAGTTCACTGTCAGAAGTTTGTAGGCCCTTCCTATCTCTCTCTCAGACTCTCTGTGCTTATCTGTGCATTTTTTGGGGGGGTTCACTTCAGTAGAGTCACAAAAACGAGTTATAATTGCACTATGGGGCAAGATACAGTTTGCAATTGCAGTTCGGGACCCTACCTGGCCACAAAGCGGGGTTGTATACATTGCCCGAACTGCAGTTCGAAACTGTATCTTGGCCCATAGTGCAATTATAACTCAATTTTGTGACTCCCGCCTAGTTCCCCCCCCCCTTTTTTTTTAAATAAAGCTAAGCTACATTCTTCTCCCAATTTCACTTCTCAATACCTACCTATCACTACCCCTCAGCCTATACAGGGGAACCCCGCCAGCGTAGCTACTTCTCACAACCAAGGGGATGTACGTTGGCCCCTGCCCTAATCCGCGGTGGTCGGGGAGTAGGGGGGAGTAGTGTAATTCAAAGACCGAGCATTTTGCAACTAGTTGTGCCTCTCATCTGCTTCCCCAGCCCCCATCAAGTAACAATAGTGTCTATGACCAGCACTCACACACCACACACAACCCCCCACACAGAAACATGCACACACCCACATGACAGCCAAAGCTCATGACCCTTAGACTTTGTGTAATTGCTATCCTCAGCCAAATCCGGGTAATGGCCCTGGTATCTCATTTTGTTCCGTATATGTTCTCAAATATGGTTTCAAATGGGACGCTGGGCCCGGCTCCCAGCACGTGTTGCTCCGCACGAATAGATTGGAGCATTGTTCCATAAAATAAAATAGGGGCAACGGCTCATGGGTCACAACCCACGTTTTGAATGGGCAAAAAAAACAGTCGTCCGCAGGTCCGTTCAAAACCGCAATAATAACAGTGGCCCGCATTATACACATGGTGCCTGTTCGAAACAGGCACTTTT